CAGTAGCAGAACAAAAAGAAATTAGATGACTGACTGAAAACAACAACAAGAAACACAATTCTTTCCATCACCATGGCGTAAACATTTTCGTTCTTCTTGGTCCGTCATAGTTGTGACATCATCAAACAAGCAAGTAGTCTGATTGCGAGCCCCTATCACATTCTGCACAAGATTGACTTGCTTCCAGCGTTCACACTCGCAGGCATACTGGACTTGCACCTGAATAGAACCACTCAAAACACATGTCACTGTCACTTGCATAAAAAAAGGTTGGCAGAAAACAAAGCACTCATCATCTATCCGCAGAATGGCTGAAACATGCGCCTCAAAAGGTTCTGGAACTGAAGAAAGCTGATTCACTGCTTTTGCCACAGCTTCCATAGCAAGCTCAAAGTTGCCTGTGCCAGAGCATGTCGAAGCAATATTCCACTGCTTCGGCACATTCTGAAGTCTCTCGAGCGCCCCAGGCATGTTCAATGCCTTGGTCACCATTGCCTGAAGGGTTGCTTGATTGCTGCTGATATCCATTTGATACGAGACTATAGACTATACTATACTATACTAAGATTTATTTAAGATTCAAGATTCAAAATGATTCAAAACCATAGTATTGACCGTCTGAACAGTCTAAACTCATGCCAACAGTGTTGTATTGAAGAATGCTGGCCCAAAAAAGAAGGCAACAAGCGACCTTGGCACAGTCCAATAAGTACTCCTCATTGAAGAAGTCCTCATGATCCCGCCAATGTCTTCCGTCAGGCAAAACCCGTTTAGCCTGCAACGAATCCCCAATCCCAAAGTGTTGACACTTTGCAGCACTGCACGGCAAAACAAGGCAAACATTGAATTGAATACACAATGGAACTCATTGTCACTGTCATAGAAACACCAGAAAAACCTGCATAGTTGCATGATTGGATGAAGCATCTTGATCTACGTTTAGTTTGTTTAGTGATCTCCTCCCTGATTCCATGTACTGTATGTCTGTTGCGTATCACAAACAGGAATGGCTATGATTGCTGACCTCTTGGTCATCAGCATCGGTTTCCATTGCTTCAATGCTTTGCGCAGCTGGTGATACCTGCAAGAAATAGAAGAGTGAGCCACCATGGGCCAGCTGTCAGTCACAGCACCGTCAAGATCATATAGTTTATACTGAGACTGATGTAGTTATTTGATAATTATGTAATATAATATATTTATATATTTTTAAAAATAAATGTCACGATACTAATAGTGGTGATACTGATGCAAACAGTGTTTCACTTACATAGCCATGCGCCTCGATTTCATCCTTTGACTGGTCATCATCCACAGAGTCCCTGGATTGGCTGACACTCAACGGCAGACTCAATGGAGCAGACTCGTTAGGTACAGTGCATTCCATAGGTACATCTTCAGATCGAAAGACACTGGCTGAAGACAATGCAGGTTCCGGAGATTCATCCTCAGATTGTCTGACCATGGAGTCCATATGGTCCATATGCACATCTTTGGATTGGCTGACACTGGACAGATGCAATGTAGGTTCCTTCAATTCCTCCTCAGGTTGGCTGACCCTGGAGGGAGGCACGGTGGAGTCGATGTGTACATTGCTGGAAGGGCTCACACTGGCAGCAACGTCCGCACTGGGAATTTGATAGTCTGGACGATTCACATCCTCTTCTGTTACAAGCCACCTCAAGAAGTCTTGTAGATCACAAAGTTGATCCCCTGTGGGATCACCAAACTCCCAGTCAGGATCGACACCCATTGAAGCAATGGTGTCCATCTTGTAGGCTTCAAGTTGTGGATGGGCAAAGCATTGATCGATCAGTGTCATGAATTCCTCTTCATGTGTGTCTTCAACCAGGTTATCCATCAGGCGATGCCAGGTGTGCAAATCCAACTTCTCTGTGCATAGTTTGAACCGGACATATGCAGCCATGTTTTTCAATGATATCTCCCGTCCCTTCAAAAGGCTTGATGCATACTTCGGATGAGAAAGATCTGAAGGTTCAAGCTTGGGTGACTCGACATGTGCCGAATCTGTTGCGCCTGTGACAGCAGCTTGTTCGGTATCAACATCTGAAGAAATTGCACCAGCAGCAGCGGGCAATTCTTCAGGATTCGCTGGGGCATCTCCCACCGTACTCGCAGGCAATGAAGTTGAAGGATCTGGATCTGGTGCACATGTGACTGGCACATTGGATGTGGATCCATGTGCATTCTCGCCTGTAGAGGCTGTAGACTGATGGCTTGGATCCAAATCCATTTCCTCATTGGACTCATTGGGCCTGGAAGGGGTGATGACTTCAGTAGCCATAGTCATAGTGTTGCCACCACCACCAGCTTCATCGACCATAGTATTGCTGCCATCATCAACCTGACCCTCAGGCGACAATGGGATTCGTTCAATGGCTTCTGTCAGTGACAACGCTTCATCGCCATCATCACCATCACCTTCTTCTTTTGGGGGCATGGGTTCTTCTGCAGGCTCAATTTGGTCTGGATGATTCTCAGCCACTCCCACAGGCTGAGCTACTTCCCCAATCACAGAAGGAGGGTGTTCTTGAGGCTCTGATTTTGCCCCCTCATTCTTTACTCGAAAGAATGATGACACGCTCATTTGGTCTCGATCTGGTGGAAATGCAAACGGGTTTGGAAATGCCTTTGCCTTTGCCGATGGTTTCGGCGCTGCCTTTTGTTTGGGCGCTGCTCTTGGCTTTGGCAGCTGTTTGGCTTTGGCTTTGGCTTTGGTCTTAGGTCCAGGCTTCAATGTGGAAGCCTTTGCCTTTGGTTTTGCTTTTGCTTTGGAAGCAGTAGCTCGCGGCATGACCACTAGTCACTACAAGAAAAAGAGCCAAGCCAAGCAGTGTCCTGAAAAGTTCTCAAACAGAGTGGCTAGACATTTGATTGTTGTTCTGATATTTTTTGGCATGTCATAGCAATGTCTCTTCATCCGGCTTGAGCACTACCTCAAAAACAATGTAAATGCATTCCTGACAGATCAACGACAATGCAATTGATGCACCAATTGATAAATCAGGTTTGTCCCGCCGCAGTCATGGCAGCTGCATGCTTTTGTCCTTTGCCGTGCAAGTTGAGAGTCTGGTCTACTTGAAACACTGTTTGAGCCTAGGGTGCAATATGGCTTATAGTCGCATAAATATATGGAGTTGTCATTGGATTTGATTCGGCAATTGGAGATATGTTGTAAAGTTTAAATGATATCAGCTGATAGCAGTGGCTAAATGTTAGCGGTGGCTCAAACAGAACCAACATGCCATAGCACCCAATTCCAAAAGCAGCCTGTGCAGGAAGTGGATCAATTATGATAGCACACAACAACCAAAACAAAGCACCAATCAAATCATTGGCTTAAAGTGAGATGCACTTACTTAGTGATGCATTACCTGGAACAAACAATCCACCAGGCTTCATAGTTAGATGTCTGAGACATCTGGCGCAATCACACGAGAGATGTGATTACAGCTTGCAAGCTGGGAGATACATCCAAATTTTTCTCCCGCATATTCTGGATGATTTTCCCCAACAAATCCTTCGCTTGACCAGTGGCCTTTTGCCCTGCTTTAATCCACTGCTGTGTTGTATCCAAAGCTAAGATCATACAAGCAGACTGCTCAGCAAGAACTGTCATAGCATCCCGGTGCTTGGATCGTGTTTCCTTGAATCCAGAAAGAGCACAGAGTTTAGTCCTTTAGAAGACCTATATTATATATTATATAATGCTCTAATATTAATATATATATTATATCTATTTTGACTCTAAGTCTCAATGTGGTAAGTATATATGACATGAGTTAAAAAGACCTGAGTTCAGCAAAGACTCCCCAAGTGACGGAAAAATAATATGGGATCCAAGGGCAAACTCTTCTTGATCTTTCTCAATTGCTGCAAGTAGACGTCCCAGTGATGTGCTGGCGGCTACCAACTTCTGCCCAAATGGTTTCAATGCATCTGTAAAACCCTGTAGGGAACTTGGTGTGGCGTCTTTGAGAGAAGGAAGCTGCTTCAAAATCCCATCAATTTCACTCACCAAAGACGCTGATCCCGTATTGTATTCAGTCTGCCTCGAATTGACAATCTTTTCCGTCAGATCATCTAGTTCAGTAATGATTGTAGTAAGCTGCTGCAGGGTGCATGCGTTCTTGAAAGTCTCACTAGCATCACAGAGCTTGTCATACATGATCTTCAAGCAAGCATCGCTGTCAGGTTCACCCAACTCTTCTGCCTCTTTCAGAACTTTTGCATACTCTGTAAATGCCCTCATCAGGGGAGCCACTATTTCGCGTGAAGTAAAATCTGAAGCCACTTTGAGACGAGCATAGCCTTGGACACCAAGATTCAAACAAACAGTCACAAGCATTTGGCCCTTGACCTTTGGCCCACCCCCAATAAAAGTCATTGAGGCATTTAGAAAATGCTCACCAACCAAAATTGCATTTGCTTTGTTTCAAAGGCACAAGAATGCATGATAAAGCGGGTTCCAGAGAGTATCTTCAGAGATAGTGACATAGACGGCAAAGCTGTCGCACTCATCAGCTGCAGCTGCTCACAAATCTGAGTGGCATTCTTCAAGTCTTCCGGTGCAATGTTCTGTGGCTCAGTGACC